TATACATCATTTTATTAATGATAATGACGTGGTGGAAATTTGTCTCAATTTTAATTTTTGAATAGTTTTAATAGTTTAATATTTTTGGGATGAAAGTGAGAAAATGAGAAAAGTAAAAATTTGAGAAAAGCCAATAAATATACAATTTATACGGCAAAGAAATCCCCCTGAATTTGAGTTTATTGATATTTATTAGGATTAGTCATTATTTTTTTTTTCGTTTATTCTTTTTTTTTAAAAAAAAGGTAGAATATTATGTATGTAATGTAATTAGAAAAATGTGTGAAGTTAAGACGGTTGACTAAGTAATCCGCCCCATAGTTTATGTTTCCTACTTATCAGCCTCTCTCATGGTAAAGTGTGCATTTAATTTATCTGATTTTAGACCTTGGCAAACATTGCTACTGTTTTGTGAAACAACCAATAGACTATAAATAGAATAATAGAAAATAAATCAACGCGTTCCCTATAATAAACTTGGTGATATAAATGCGTTGATCAAAATGCTTCTTGAAAAACCCTTAGAGCTGCGCTCCTCGTTTAAAAGATCAAAAAAAAAAAAAAAAAAATTCAAGATGAAGAATTTTTCTGGAATTTATTCATTGATTTTTATTTTTATTCATCTATCCATTAAGCATAAATTCCTTCATATAATGAAACCAACCCGGTTACAAAATTAACCAAATATTAACTTATTTGGATGGAACTTTGATTGTTTTCTTGACCAAACCAATAAATGAAACATGTAACGAACCTAGGATTGATTTGCGAGTTATACATTCAAATGGCACAGTTGATAAAGTAAAGGTGGAACACTCGATACCGGATTTTAATTTTTGTCTTGTACCAGACGATATATCTTTACATATTAAGCTTATTCGCAATATACCGGATTCTTCTACGTGTTATATGAAAACTCCTCCGATATAAATCCGGCAAGTTATTATGTGTCACTTTTCACGCGCACTGGAAAAATCATTGGGTTTGAATCATTTAATAGTGTATCGTAATCATTTGCGGTTTGATACTTATATAAGTTTGTTTACATTTATAAAGCAATACATTTCTCTCACGGGTGTCCGTCATCAATGGAACATTGTCTTCCTCCGGGTTTATGTATTCTCACGATAACGAAAGCAAGTGGCTTTATTTTCTGGAATTATCTAACTGAAACTTTGTGGACTGGATTTACTTTAGTAAACCGTAAGTTCGTAACATTGATCGAAATTCTCTTAACCAGGGTTCTTAATACACTTTTTCAATGATTCGGAAGATACTCTTTATAAAACATTTCAATCTATCATTCTTGAAGACGAAAGAAATTATTATAGCACTTTGGAGCTTCCAAATAATTTAAAAATTTCTAATCTTGCGATGGGAGATTTACGAAACAACACTTTTATTATCGCTTACCAAGTTGATGAATTTACTTGGAAAGTCTATTCAGAAGATTTACCAAGGTTCTTTGATGGTAAGATATCGTAACGACAATCAATGAACATTTTATTTGTTCATTCATATTTATTAACTTCTTTATTTATATGTATCTTTTATTTATTTATTTATTTTGTGTTATTAGATAATGGTTACAATAACAGAAATGTTAATACCACAAATCCATTAATTAATTCAAAGATACCATTATCAACGATTAGTATTAACGTTACATATAACTTTCCGATAATAATATCAACGAATAACATCTCTATTTATCAAGATGATAGTGGCGGAAAACCTATATTGCGACAATCGATTCCAGGAAACGCTCCAACATCATTTGTTTATAGTGCGGATAATCGATCATTCATCTTAAATGTTTTAGAGAGCACATTCAATCAACCGAATGGGAATTATTACATTGTAATTGACGATAATGCTGTAAAAGATTTTAAAACGGATCAACCTTTAATGGGTATTCAAACTCATACTTGGAAGTTTAATACCAGTAAGTAAAAGTTAATCAATAAAAAAATTCATGATTTTATTAAAGATTTGTTTAATTAATCACATTATATTATTTCATTAGCTGATGATTATCAAGAAGAAGTAGTTTTTGCGGGTAATTAATTTATAAGATGTAGAAATTTTTTTCTTCTTTTTTTTTTTTTTAAAAAAAAAAATTTATGCGTTAATAGTTCGTTCTATTTTAACCTTTCAGAGCCGATTTGCTTTAACGACTGAAAGAAAAAAAAATTTCGAAAGCCTCCTACCTTTTAATAAAAAAAGTTATTTATTACAATTAAGAATTGATCTATCAAATTCGATACCCGTTGATATTAATAGATTGGATGCAATAATATGTTGTGAATACGACAGAAGTCAACGACCTCCAAGAATTTTATTATCATTACCTATTAAATCGACAACAAAGTTAAATGAAAGAAATGTCGACCGTGTCATAAAAGATTTAGACCTTTTGATTAAAAATAAAAAAGTTACACCAATATCTTGGTTTTATACAACAAATTTTATAGAAGCAAGTTTTGGATTTCAACTTACCCGTAAGTAACTTGAATTATATATAGCCAAAGAAAAGAGTATAATTCCCGTAATTAATCAAACTTATTATTTAAGGAAATGTATTTCAAGATTTTAAATTTCATTTAATTGGTATCGCTATTGGAATAATAATTTTAGTATCACTTTATTTTTATGCCAGAAAAAGAAGTCCTACGGTAAAGTGTTTACTCGTCAACCATCATTTATATTTTTTACTGATTTATTGAATTTTGAACTTTTTATGATATTTTAGGGGAAAAATACCGCCATATTTAAATTTTCCTTGATTTTTTTGGACTTTGTCCTGGATTTTCTGTTCGTTCTGAATGATGGAGCAAAGGTCCCGCAATTGTTTATTCCAAGGTTTGTTAAATCATAAATTATTTTTTTTTACTAAATTGGTTGTCCCTAATTTTATTACCTCGTTCTTTGTTGATAGTATAGCATTTTGTGCAATACCGTTGGCAATTAATTTCATCATGAGCATAGTCATGATTCTTCGAGAAATTAAAAAAAACAAGGATTTCTACGAATGGTTTAAACAAAATACCAATATGGCATCTCTATTCACTATTTTAGCAAGTACCGATATTGGAGTATTAAATATACTTTCTTCTAACGTTGCTGGAATAGCGTTATTTAATGCACCTATATCCAAAGGAACTCAATCTTTAATATTTCTTGTCAGTCATATTGGATTTTTTATTGAAGATATCCCCCAATTTATAATACAGGTTGGTAAAAAAATAAATATTTCTAAAAAAAAAAAAAAAAAAATACTATTCCTTATAAATTCATTACCTGCAAAAACTTCTTGATAATCATCAGCTAATGAGATAATTTAATGAGATTAATTAAACAAATCTTTAATAAATCTTGAATTTTTTTATTGATTAACTATTTACTTACTGGTATTAAACTTCCAAGTATGAGTTTGAATACCCATTAAAGGTTGTTCCGTTTTAAAATCTTTTACAGCATTATCGTCAATTACAATGTAATAATTACCATTCGGTTGATTGAATGTGCTCTCTAAAACATTTAAAATTAATGATTGATTATCCGCACTATATACAAATGATGTTGGAGCATTTCCTGGAATCGATTGTCGCAATATAGGCTTTCCGCCACTACCATCTTGATAAATAGAGATGTTATTCGTTGATATTATTATTGGAAAGTTATATGTAATGTTAATACTCGTCGTTGATAATGGTATCTTTGAATTAATTAATGGATATGTGGTATTAACATTTATGTTATTGTATCCATTATCTAATATCACAAAATAAATAAATAAATAAAAAAATATATATAAATAAAGAAGTTAATAAATATAAATGAACAAATAAAATATTCATTGATTGTCGTTACGATATCTTACCATCAAAGAACCTTGGTAAATCTTCTGAATAAACTTTCCAAGTATATTCATCATCTTGGTAAGCGATAACAAAAGTGTTGTTTCGAAAATCTCCCATCGCATGATTAGAAATTTTTAAATTATTTGGAAACTCCAAAGTGCTATAATAATTTCTTTCGTCATCAAGAATGATAGATTGAAATGTTTTATAAAGAGTATCTTCCGAATCATTGAAAAATAGTACTAAGAACCCTCCATAAAACAAATTTCTAAATTTTGTAGTCTCTCTTAAATCTTTATACATTTCAAAATCAGAAAATTTATCGATACCAACAACAGAACTGTATTTATAAATAAATATGAGAGTGAGACGAACGTTATTGAAGAAACCAACCAATTCATTAATTTTTGTAAAATTACCGACCCTGTATTCTGGAATTTTATTCGAATCAATTTATATTCTTCATCCCTTTTCATATTCAAAATGCAAGAATTACCTAATGTAGTATATGTTTTACTACATTGAAACATAACTTGTAAATTCGGTATTGCGGATTGATAAAGCAAGAAAGGTCCATCAACAGTTTTATCGGGATTAATGAAAGTTACATAAAGACGAAATGTTGGTCTGACCGGATTAATTGATTCATCAAGAGGTTGACTTAAAAAATTTGTACGACTAATCACTATAGCAAAGGCTCCATCGATTGTGGAAAATATAGTAAAGGAATCTAATGAAGCATTTTGAATTTTAAGGTGACCATTATTTATTGGATGAAAATTTCCACCGAAATCACTAAAAAACAATGAACATAATATCAATGGTTAAATTGACAAGTGAGAATTGCAATCAATGTTACGAACTTACGGTTTACTAAAGTAAATCCAATCCACAAAAGTTTCATTTAAATAATTCCAGAAAATAAAGCCACTTGCTTCGTTATCGTGAGAATACATAACCCCGGAGGAAGACAATGTTCCATCAATGACGGACACCCGTGAGAGAAATGTATTGCTTTATAAATGTAAACAAACTTATATAAGTATCAAACCGCAAATTATTACAATACACTATTAAATGATTCAAACCTAATGATTTTTCCAGTGCGTGTGAAAAGTGACACATAATAACTTGCCGAATTTATATCGGAGGAGTTTTCATATAACACGTAGATAGAATCCGGTATATTGCGAATAAGCTTAATATGTAAAGATATATCGTCTGGTACAAGACAAAAATTAAAATCCGGTATCGAGTGTTCCACCTTTACTTTATCAACTGTGCCATTTGAATGTATAACTCGCAAATCAATCCTAGGTTCGTTACATGTTTCATTTATTGGTTTGGTCAAGAAAACAATCAAAGTTCCATCCAAATAAGTTAATATTTGGTTAATTTTGTAACCGGGTTCGGTTTCATTATATGAAGAGGTTTTATAGGCATTTATGCTTAATGGATAGATGAATAAAATAAAAATCAATATGAAATACAATGAATAAATTCCTGAAAAATTCTTCATTTTGAATTTTTTTTTTTTTGATTTTAAACGAGGAGCGCAGCTCTAGGGTTTTTACAAGGAACATTTTAATCAACGTATTTATATCTCTAAGTTTTATTATAGGAACAATAGAAATGGAAATGACCGAAAATAACAGTTTGTTTGTTTTACACGTTTCATAATTTACCTAACACAAAAATTGGTTGGGATCTGCGTTTATCTATAATAGCTTAAACATTGTTCTCCGAAAATGAATTTTATTTTGTTATTTATTTTTATATAAGCCTTTTTTTGGCTATTTTCTTTAAGTATTTCTTTTTACTAGCAAAATAGACTAGGAATAATACCTTTTTATAAGCTAGCTTTTATCTTAAGTATACGTTCAAAGTATTGCATATTTTTTACCTATTAAATGCATAGTAATCTCCATCTCAGTCCAGTTAAGGACGTTCTCAATGAAATTTTAATTAGTCGGAGATTGATTTTGCAGATCAAATGAGGAAGCATTTCTTATAATAGAAATCAGGAATAAAAAATCGGTATCTCCGTATTGTTTCTTTATCACGAATGTTGCAATGAGCTTGATATTATGCTATTCTGTTAATGTAATACCCCAGCAAACTTATGTTAAAGAAAGTAAAGAGTATTATCAGTTTTTCCATAAAATATATAACTTTACTTTTGAATCTAAACAGTTGAGTTAAAGCAGATAGGATTGTATTTTGCATTTCATGTTGAATCTCTTGACCTTTATATTTTTTTTTTTCACTTTTGAAAGATATTAACTATGTTTTTATTTCATTTTACTTAAATATAAATTCTTTAAAACTAATAAATATAAATTTTTTTCAAGATTATTCTCATTGCAAATAGATTAGATATATAAAATTCAACTATTAAAAGAAAATTTATAAATTTTAATCTTTTAGTATAATAATATAATTCAAATAAATATATATAAATAATTAAAGTTATTTTTTTTATAATTATTTATTATATTACATTTAATTATAATTCTTAGTAATGTAAAATATTAAAATAAAAATTAACTATTTTTATAAATATACTTAGTAAAATTTTCAAGTCTATAAATAATAACTTTAAAGTTTATTAAAAGCATATTAGCTTTTTTATCAATATTCTATTTATTTAAGAATTAGCTATTCTAGCTTATAATAAAATAAAATAAAATATAAAAAGATTTGAAAAGAAAACTATAATATAGAAAATGTAATAATAATAAAATAATTTATTAAATATTATATACAAATTATAAAGTATAAGATTATTAAAAAATAATTAAGTAATAATTATATGATATTATAAAAGATAAAAATAGTTTTACAATTAATTGTAATTTATAATAATTATTTATCACAATTGTAATTAGTTGCAATGTTATTTTTAATAAAAAAATTATATAAAATAAATAAAGTAATATTATATAATTCTTTATAATAAATTAGTAATTAATATAAAATTTTATTATAAATAGCTTGAATACTTAATTATATAAAAGATAATTTATTAATAAAAGAATAATTAATAGACAAATAATTCTTTGAGTATTATTTTTACATTTAATATGTTTTTAAATATAAGTATATGTAATTATTTCTATTTTATATTTTTTTAAAATATAAGTAGATTACAATATTATATTGTAACTTATTTACTTTAAATTATTATCTACTTACCATTAAATTACTACTTATTTACCATTAGATTATTAAGGTCATTCTACTATTAGTTTTGTTTTAGTTATTCTAAATTATTTTGGTAACTTATTTCAGGGTTAAAGTTGTGACCTATTTAATATACTATTCTATTTCCATTTTTTTCTTTTTGATTTCTATTTAGTTTTCACTTTGCATAAGCTTCCTTATTTTTTTGTTGTTTTCCTTATTATATAGGAGGGTTTCTAGGAATATCAGGTTCCGAGAAATTTTTCACTTAAATTAAGAGCTTAATACATTTTAATCTAATAACATCAAAAACTAAAATGC